TTTTTTTTTTTTTTTTGAGATGAAGTCTCACTATGTTGCCCTTGGTAGAGTGCTGTGGCATCACAGCTCCCAGCAACCTCTCAAACTCTTGGGCTTAAACGATTCTCTTGCCTCACCCTCCCAAGTAGCCACAATGCAGGTGTCATTGTTATTTAGCAGGCCTGGGCTGGGTTCAAACCTGCCAGCCTCGGTGTATGTGGCCAGTGACCCAACCACTGAGTTACGGGCGCCGAGCCTGGTTTGTATTTTTAAGATTTTTTAAATTTAAATTTAATTTTATTAACTTATTTTTTTAAGACAGAGCCTCAAGCTGTTGCCCTGGGTAGGGTGCTGTGGCATCACAGCTCACAGCAACCTCCAACTCCTGGGCTCAAGCGAGTCTCCTGCATCCGCCTCCGGAGTAGCTGGGACCACAGGCGCCCGCCACAACGACTGGCTATTTTTTTTTTGGTTGCAGCCATCATTGTTGTTTGGTGGGCCCAGGCTGGATTCGAACTGCCACCTTAGGTGTATGTAGCTGGCGCCTTAGCCACTTGAGTCACAGGCACTGAGCCTGGTTTGTATTTTTAAATGATCACTCTGACTACTAAATATAAGAATGAGGGCCGGGCACAGTGGCTCATGCCTATAATCCTAGCACTCTGGAAGGCCACAGCAGGTGGATTGTTTGACCTCACAGGTCAGCCTGAGCAAGAGTGAGACCTCATCTCTAAAAATAACTGGGTGTTATGGCAGGTTCCTGTAGTCTCAGCTATTTGGGAGGCTGAGGCAAGAGAATTGTTTACAAGCCCAAGAGTTTAAGGTTGCTGTGAGCTGTGATGCCATGGCACTCTACCAAGGGTGACAGAGACTCTGTCTTAAGAATAAATAAATAAATATGAGTGGATTTTTCATGATAAAAAAATGGATTATGAGGGCAGTGCCTGTGGCTCAAGAAGTAGGGCACCAGCCCCATATACCAGAGGTGACGGGTATAAACCCGGCCTGGCCAAAAACTGCAACAACAACAACAACAACAAAAGAATGGATTGAATGGATTGGCTTGGCACCTGTGGCTCAAGTGGCTAAGGCGCCAGCCACATACACCTAAGGTGGCAGGTTCGAATCCAGCCCCGGCCCGCCAAACAACAATGACGGCTGCAACCAAAAAAATAGCCGGGCATTGTGGCGGGCACCTGTGGTCCTAGCTACTTGGGAGGGTGAGGCAGGAGACTCGCTTGAGCCCAGGAGTTGGAGGTTGCTGTGAGCTGTGATGCCATAGCACTCTACCCAGGGCAACAGCTTGAGGCTCTGTCTCAAAAAAAAAAAGAATGGATTGTAAAGGGGCAAAGTAGAAGTAGGAAAACCAAGTGGGGTTCAGTGGCTCACACCTGTAATCTGGGAGCCGAGGCTAGAGGATCAACTTTGCTCAGAAGTTCAACACCAGCCTGAACAAGATTGATTGCCCCATCTCTACTAAAAATATAAACATTATCCAGGTGTTGTGGTGAGCTCCTGTAGTTCCAGCTACTTGGGAGGCTGAGGCAGGAGAATGGGTTGAACCCAGGAGTCTGAGATTGCTGTAAGCTAGGCTGACGCCATGACACTCTAGCCTAGGCAATAAAGTGAGTCTCTGACCCCTTACCACCACCAAAAAAGGAGTAGGGAAAACAGTTTTTCTAAAGACGTTTTTAATAATTCAGGTGAGATGTAGTGGCCACTTAAATTGGGTTAGTGATAGTAAAAATGGACAAAAGTTGACAGATGATGGATTTTTTGAGATATATTGTCTAAGATTTTTAAAAGAATGGTTCGGCACCTATAGCTCAAGTGGCTAGGGCGCCAGCCACATACACCAGAGCTGGCGGGTTCAAATCCAGCCCGAGCCTACCAAACAATGAGGGCTGCAACCAAAAAATAGTCAGGCATTGTGGTGGGTGCCTACTGTCCCAGCTACTTGGGAGGTGGAGGCAGGAGAATCGCTTGAGCCCAGGAGTTGGAGGTTGCTGTGATGCCACAGCACTCTACCCAGGGTGACAGCTTGAGGCTGTGTCTCAAAAAAAGAGAGAGAGAGAAAGAAAAAAACATCTTTCCTTACTGAAACTTTCTATATTTGTCTTTCATGTTTATGAGCATCTCAAAGGGAGAAGCTTACCTTTTTTCTCTTTAGGGTTTCACTCTGTTGCTTAGGCTAGAGTACAGTGGCCAATCTGATCATAGTTCACTGCAACCTCACACTCCTTACTCTTGGGTTCAAGGGATCTTCCTGCCACAGCCTCCCACATAGCTGGAACTATAGGCAGAACACAACGCCCAGCACCATGCCTGGCTAATTTGTAAATTTTCTGTAGAGATGGTCTTGGTATGTTATTCAGATGATGTCATATCTTTTTTTAAATTTTATTTTATCCTAAGTACCTAGTAAAGTGTTTGGCACATAGCAGGCAGTCCAGTCATTTATTCATCAACATCTACTAAGTGCCTACTGTGTCCCATGTCAGATGCCAGATGGTGTCTGCGCAGAAGCCAGGGAATCCTCTCACTTTGGTGGATTAATATTAGGTTACTGAGTTGTCAGGGAAGTAGGCTGAACTGATTAGGAGGGTAGGCATGGCTAGTGGGACTCAGGTCAACACTTCAGGTCAGCTGTCATAAAATAAGAACCTGGGCCCAACACATAGAGTTCTAATAACCTCTCAGCAGGAGTCCCAACCTTTTTTTTTTTTTTTCAGTTCATCAGCTTTTACAGCTAAACATCTGTCCTCTTCCGCTCTATTTATCTGTAGTCTAAATAATCCTTCAAGACTAGCATCAAATCCTGTCCTGTCTGTAAATACTTGCTGTGATTACCTAGCCTAGAAAGCTTTTAACCTTCTCTGGTCTTGTTTGGTGATTAATGTGTATGTAATCCCATTGGCAATTAATAATTGGCTGTCTTATGTCATCTATTCTGGAGTACTATTTATATCTGTTATTGTTATACCTTTTTTTTTTTTTGGAAACCTGGAAACAATTTATTGAGTTGCTGTATAACAGCAAGCATATCTTAAGCCTGTCTCCCACAATGCCTTTCCTAGTAGATCTATATTTTGCTGTAACCCCAGGGATTTGTGGTCCTGAGAGCTACTGAAAGGCTTGACTGGCTTTGTAGGGTTATCACATCCAGGCTCTTAGTTCTTGCTAATTCCCTCGTCTCCCCTGCATTATTTCCTCTCCCAGGCACCCCATTGCGAGCATGCTTTCTGCAACGCCTGCATCACCCAGTGGTTCTCTCAACAACAGACATGTCCAGTGGACCGTAGCGTTGTGACGGTTGCCCACCTGCGCCCAGTACCGCGGATCATGCGGAACATGTTGTCGAAGCTGCAGATTGCCTGCGACAACGCTGTATTTGGCTGCAGTGCTGTCGTTCGGCTTGATAACCTCATGTCTCACCTCAGCGACTGTGAGCACAACCCGAAGCGGCCTGTGACCTGTGAACAGGGCTGCGGGTGAGATTCCTTCCTTCTTCTGCCTCACATAGATAAGGGCCTTTCATTTACTCCCTGTCTCTGGGTGCCTTATTCACTAGCTGACATCTCCTGGGCACGTTGGAAGGGAGTACTCTTAGTCTCCTTAGGGCTCTGCCGTAAGTTCTGACTTTTGTCTTTTCCAACTCTTTGGTCAATTCTTTTTTTTTAGAGACAGAGTCTTACTTTGTCACCCCCCGTAGAGTACCGTGGTATCGCAGCTCACAGCAACCTGCAGCTCTTGGGCTTAGGCGATTCTCTTGCCTCAGCCTCCAGAGTAGCTGGGACTACAGTCACCCACCACAGCGCCCAGCTATTTTTGTTGCAGGGGCCGGGGCCGGGTTTGAACCTGCCACCCTTGGTACTACAGGACCGGTGCCCTACTCACTGAGCTACAGGTGCTGCCCTCTTTGGTCAATTTTCAAAAGATCTCACTTTTTTTGCTGCTTTTCCAACTGTGATCTTTTTGCTCCTGCTTTTTTTCTTTTTGAGACAGAGCCTTAAGCTGTCCCCTTGGGTAGAGTGCTATGGCATCACAGCTCACAGCAACTATCAACTCCTGGGCTCAAGCGATTCTCCTGCCTCCGCTTCCTGAGTAGCTGTGACCACAGGTGCCTGCCACAACACCTGGCTTTTTTTTTTTTTTT